AAGGTCTGTAGTGGAGTCAATTAATTATACTAAAGTTGATTTCCTGGCTTCAACAACGTGCTATGGATGGTATCACCAAGGAACTGGGTGAATAGTATATGGAAATTCTCTCTGTGTGTTTGGGGTTCTTGTTTTGTTTTGTTTTGTTTTTTGGGGGAACAGGGTCTCACTCTGTCGCCCAAATGGGACTGAAGAGGCATGATCTCAGCTCACTGCAATCTCCGCCTCCCAGTTTCAAGTGATTCTCCCACCTCAGCCTCCCAAGAAACTGGGACTATAGGTGCACACGCCACCATGCCTGGCTAACTTTTTGTATTTTTAGTAGACACAGGCTTTTACCATGTTGGCCAGCCTGATCTCAAACTCTTGACTTCAAGTGATCCGCCTGCCTCAGCCTCCCAAAGTGTTGGGATTACAGGCATGAGCCACCGCACCCAGCCTCTCTGTGCTATTTTTGCCATTTCTTGTGTCTGAAATTATTTCAAAATCAAAAATTTTAAAAAATCAGAAAGTACAAAAGGGTACAGTACAAAGTATCTTTCCTACTCCTGACTGTAGCTATCTAGTTTCTCTCCCTACAAACAACCAATCTTACTAGATTTGTATGTAAGATTCCAGAGGCATTTTATACATACACAATCATTTTAAAGTATCAGTTTCTCATTTTATATAAAATGTAGCATAATACACTCATTCTTCTGAATGTTTTTCCACACCTACCAACATATCTTGGAAATTATTTCATATTTTTTAAAAGGCTACGTGCTAATTCATTGTGTGGCTATATTATTTATTTAAGGAGTTCCCTAATGATGGGCATTTGGGTAATTATCAACACTATGAGATTAGGGCCGGGTGAGCACCTGTAGTCCCAGTTACTCGAGAGGCTGGGGCACAAGAATCACTTGAACCTGGGAGGTGGATATTGCAGTGGGCGAGCTCACGCCACTGCACTCCAGCCTGGGCAAAAGAGTGAGACTCCGTCTCAAAATAACAACAACAACAACAACAACAACGAGAGATTAAATGACATAGGTTTTTTTTCATTTCATATGTGTTTCAGAGTCCCTGTAGGTAAAATTTCAAGAATGATGTCAAAGGGTATGTGCATTTGTAAATCTGTAATTGCCACTAAATAGATGTTGAACCAATTTACAATCCTTTGGGTAATATATGAGAGTGCCTCATGTTGGTTTTCCCACACTGTCACCCATACAATGTGTTAACCTTTTTTTTTTTTTTTTTTTTTTTTTTTTTTTTTGAGACAGAGTCTCAGTCGCCGAGGCTGGAGTGCAGGGGCGCGATCTTGGCTCACTGTAAGCTCCACCTCCCGGGTTCACGCTATTCTCCTGCCTCAGCCTCCCGAGTAGCTAGGACTACGGGCACCTGCCACCACACCCGGCTAATTTTTTGTATTTTTAGTAGAGACGGGGTTTCACCGTGTTAGCCAGGATGGTCTCAATCTCCTGACCTTGTGATCTACCCGCCTTGACCTCCCAAAGTGCTGGCCTGAGCCACAGCACCCAGCCTATGTTAAACATTTTTATGTTTGCTAATCAAATACATGAAAATGATATCTTAGTGTAGTTTTAATTAGTTTTTGTTTTTGAGACAGGGTCTCACTCTGTCACCTGGGCTGGAGTGCAGTGGCACAACCTCTGCTCACTACAACCTCCGCCAACGTCGCCCAAGCAATCCTCCCACCTCAGCCTCCCGAGCAGCTGGGACTATAAACTTGGGCCCCCATGCCCAGCTAATGTAGTTTCAATCTATCATGAGTGAGGTTAAGCATCTTTTCTTAAGTTTAATGGTCATTTATATTTCACATTTTGTCTTTTTGTAGTCTCTGCACACTTCTCTCCTGAGCTTATATTTATTTGGTTTTATTTTTTAATCAGCCCTTCACAGTCCATCCCAAATCCATTACAATGTTCTTTTTTAATAAAGTTCATGTGTCTAGGCTTTTGCTCATTTTATTTATTTATTTATTTACTTATTTACTTACTTATGAAACAGGGTCCAGCTGTGTTGCCCAGGCTGGAGTGCAGTGGTGCGTTCATGACTCACTGTAGCCTCTACCTCCCGGGCTCAAGTCATCCTCCTACCTCAGCCTATTCAGTAGCGAAGTCCACAGGAGCACACCACCATGCCCAGCTAAATTTTGTATTTTTCTTTTTTTTTTTGTAGAGACAGGGTTTTGCTATGCTGCCCAGGGTGGTTTCAAACTCCTCAGCTCAAGTGATCCACCTGCCTCGGCCTCCCAAAGTGCTGGGATTAAAGGTGCTCCGCTTGGCTTTTGTTCATTTTATTTCCTTTTCCACCAACTCTATCTGGACTACCTTTTAAGACCCAGTTCAAATATCACCTGCTATATGACTTTAGGTAGATAGATGAAATATTATTAAAGAATAAAGTTTAACTATATAAACTGTGATACATAGATAAGGACATATAAGGTATTACTATTATGAAACTAAGCCTTAGAAATTTTAACAATATCTGCCTTCTACAGACAGAAAACCCCTGATCTCTCTCTTACCTCCTCTATTTCTGGAAAATGAATCCCTAAGTTATCAGTATTGCTACAATTCTCAAGAGGTTTAAAAACCACCTTAGACCAGATGCAGTGGCTCGATGCCTGTAATCCAAACACATTGGGAGACCAAGGTGGGTGGACCGCTTGAGCCCAGGAATTCAAGGCCAGCCTAGACAATGTGGTGAAACACCTTCTCTACTAAAAATATAAAAATTAGCCATGCATTGTGGTGCCTGCTTGTAGTTCCAGCTACTTGGGAGGCTGAGGTGGGAGGACCGATTGAGCCAGGGAGGCCAAGGCTGCCATGAACTGTGGTCATGCCACTGCATTCTAGCCTGGGGTACAGAGCAAGACCTTGTCTCAAAAAAATAATTAATTAATCTAAAAAGTAAAAATAAAAACAACTCTACCATCTGACCACAACTGAAAGAGAGTAATTGAGTTTGTATTTAAACAGAATGCTACCAATTCCTTCTCTACCTTGAATCTGTGATCATCCTGGTATTTGAGATTTTAAAGGAATGGGAAAAGGTTTTTTTCATTTTATTTATTGAAAAGTCATTTATTCAGCACCCACCAGGCACCATGCTGATGGTGAATAAAACAGGTAACAGACTTTTACCCTGCCAATATTTTATTTCCAGCAATCATAATTTATTGTCTGGATTACTCTAAGGTCTTCCTGGGCCTAGACTTGCCTGCTTCCGTCCCACTTTCTATGTAGACAGCTGTGAAGACAGCTATATAGACAGCTGCCAAGTGTTATTTCCTAAACATAAATCTGCTCATGTTGCTTCTTCAGTAATTTCCACTGTCCACAGGATAGTGTACCTCAGGAGGTGTGCCTGGCCTTTCATGAATGTGTCATGGACAAAAAGGCCTCTTGCCTCATCCCTTGCCACCCCCTGCCTTTACCTCCGGCCCTCCACCTACAAATTTTACTTTTCAAGGAACATTTTGTGGTTACTCACAAACTTTCTCACAGATTCTCAAGCCGGTCCTTTCCCCTTTCCAACTGCTTTTTTTTTTTCTTTTGAGACAGAGTCTTACTCTGTTGCTTAGGCTGGAGTGCAATGGCGTGATCTTGGCTTACTGCAACCTCTGCCTCCCAGGTTCAAGCGATTTTCCTGCCTCAGCCTCCCGAGTAGCTGGGATCACAAGCGCCCACTGCCACGCCCGGCTAATTTTGTATTTTTAGTAGAGATGGGGTTTCGCCATGTTGGCCAGGCTGGTCTCGAACACCTGACCTCAAGTGAGCTGCCTGCCTTGGCCAACTGCTTCTAAAACTGACCACCTCCTTCAGGATTTCGCTAAATATCCCATTCAAGAAGTTTCCTTGATCCCAATTATGGATTACAGGCTCCTTCTATGTTCACCCCTCAAAAACTGGAACTAGGTTTACTGTATCTTTTCTAAATTTTTGATTATAAAAGACACATACATTTACTAAAAAAAAGTTCATTAAAAGCAAAGCATATAAAGGATAAAATGACAGAAAATCACCTACTCTACCACAGGCAATCACTGCAAAATTTCTCTATATATCTCCACCTATAACTCCAAGTTCATTATCCATACTGATTTGTAACTTTTCTTTGTTTTTGGCTTCTTCCAGGAAACAATGAAACTTTACTTTCTTAACACTATATCTTATTATTTTTCCATGTGGATACAAATAGATTTAAATCATTTTTATTGGCTGCACTATTTTTCCACTGTATGATAGTACCAGCTAATAACCTTTATTAATGGGCGGTTAGATTCTCCATTTTTTTGTTCATTATATCCTGATCTTAGGTCTATCCTAACATTTTTAAAGAGATCCTTGCGGCGTCATTCATTTCTAAATTCCCAGTGCTCATAACAGTGTCTGGCATACAGTATTTGTTAAGAGTTCCATGTAAAAGATGAGCTTGTTTCTACTTAACACTGAGAGTTCGAAAATCAGACTGTCTACAAGCACCGAGCAGTGCGTTATTTTCTTGATTTCATTTGCAAATGCAGTCTGTTGAATTAACCTATTAATCAAAAAGTAGTACAGCTGCCTTAAATTCTTTCTGAAAAAACAGCAAGCTTTGTGCAAACAAAACACAGATACAAAGCTATGCATAACTACGAGGCGCGAGTTACTCCTGCCCCGACAAAGGAAAGATGCATGACCTTCAAGACCGCAGCACACGCAGAGTGGGTCTACGGCTCCTGGGGCAAGGAGCTCAGCCACCAGACACCCGCGGCCTGCGCTTTTCCAGACAGGACCACTGGTACTGAGTTCTTTACCCCGACGTCCGCCAAGGGGACTATGCCAGGTTTACAATGGAGAAAGCTGGGACCAGGGCCAAGCCTCAGGTTTCGCGCTGACCCCTCGCGAGCTCCAGCTACAACCCACCGCCCCACCCCCAGCGCATGCGCAGAGCTGCGAGCCCTCGCAATGGACTGCATGCGAGGGACCTCCGCACACACTCACCCGAGGAAATTAGAGGACGTACAGCTTTTGTATTACGGCCTCCAGGCCCCAGCACTCTTAAAAACCAACCCCCCGAGGAGCCCAGCTTACCGCCGCCCCACATTGCGACAAACGATCCCACCTCTTTTCCGGTCCCTCTCGAAAAAAGATCCCCAACATCAAGGTTCCGAGATCCACTTTCGCCCTCTGCAGCCGACTTTTTTTTTTCTCCTTTGCGGAGTCTGTTCAGTTGCCCAGGCTGGAGTACAGTCCCTCATCTGGGATCACTGCAATCTCCGCCACTCGGGTTCAAGCGATTCTCCATGTTGGCTGGTCTCCAATTCCTGACCTCCTCAGGTGATCCACCCGCCTTGGCCTCCCAAAGTGCTGGGATTACAGGCGTGAGCCACCGCGCCCGGCCTGCAGCCAACTTTCATGATTGTATCGAGTGTTGTGTATGTATGGCTATACTTTCACGCTCATCTAGCAAACTGTACATGAGATGAAACTGTAAGATATTTTTACTATCATAAACTTTGAAGATCCTTTATTTCTATAAGACCACCTGAAACCTCATGTTCAAAGTTGACCTCAATCAGGCCATTACTTTGTGCTGTGTGATCTTTTATTGCCATGTAGCTCTATTTCACACTTAACAGATGTCTCTTCAAGGACTTTTATATTCCTGTAAGACGCTGACCCTAATGCTAAGAATCGCAAGAGTATGGGAGCACGTCTTCCTCAAGGGAAGAATTCTTTCTCCTTTCAAGGCACTCAAATATCAGATGGCCAGAAGGCCAAATGTAAAACTTATTTTCTGCAAATGACTATTATCCTGTACCGGGTATATACATCATGTAGTAGGAGGCGTTTGTGGCTCCGTCTAGGCAAACTTCATTTAGAGCTAGGAACAGTGATCAGTAACATTCTACCTCTAAATGCACAAAAAGTCTTTCTTTGGGTAAGAACAATGACAAATCTCCAACAGTGAAGGCAAAAAAATATTCCGTATTTTCAACAGGCAGGGTCAAATTGGTAAAGGGTTCTTTCAATTAGTGAAATTTACCATTCAGGAATAGTTTTTTTTTTTTTGAGACAGCCTCACTCTGTTGCTCAGGCTGGAGTGCAGTGGCACGATCTCAGCTCACTGCAACCTCCGCACCCCCAGGCTCAGGTGATTCTCATGCCTCAGCCTCCTGAGTAGCTGGGATTACAGGTGTATGCCACCACTCCCGGCTAATTTTTGTAGTTTCAGTCAGGGTTTCACCATGTTGGCCAGGCTGGTCTCAAACTCCTGACTTCAGGTGATCTGCCTGCCTCAGCCTCCCAAAGTTCTGGGATTACAGGTGTGAGCCACCCCACCCAGACAGGAATAGTCTTTCATTTATGGTTCTTAGCTAAAATATTGACCTCCTCCTAAGAGTGGTCGCACTTTTCAGTTGCTATGTCCTCTTCAGAGCTCCTCTACCCTTAGATACATGATCATCTCTCCACATGAAGGCAGAAAGCTCTGCACAAAAGAAAATGTAGCATGTGTTACATTTATTGGAGTGACACATCCAAGGAAAAAGCAAACTACAAGCATGATTAAATAAAGTTCTAGGAGCTTTGTACGTACTTTCTTTGAATGTACCACACTTCAATGGGCTTCAAAGCCTTTCCAATACATTTTCAGTTTAACAAGAAAGGGAATCAATGATTTGCCTTAATGCTGACGAGAAGTACGTCTTTTAAACACCCAGAATTAGTCTGGCCCAGATAAGCAAAACTAACTAATAGTACTTCTCGCTACAAACGTCAGCAAAAGGTTTTCCCAATGACTCTTAAACCTAAGTGGTATTGGAAAGTTGTATTGGCTGTAATGCAGCATATGGCCATTGTTGGAGATACTTCCCCAGACTATTACGATGATCTCACCTGTAAGAGTCTACATATTTATTCTGCCATAAAACTCTTAATGTCTATTTTGTAATTCAATTTTACAAACATTTTTTTTCATCCAAGGGTAAAGTGCTCCCTTGTAGCTTTGAAATTATAAACAGCTGGGTGCAGAGGCTAACGCCTGTAATCCCAGCACCTTGGGAGGCCGAAGTGGACGGATCATCTGAGGTCAAGAGTTCAAGACCAGCCTGGCAAATATGGTGAAACCCCACCTCTACTACAAAAAATACAAAAATTAACTGAGCATGGTGATGGAAGCCTGTAATCCCAGGTACTTGGGAGGCTGAGGCAAGAAAATTGTTTGGGAGGTGGAGGTTGCAGTAAGCTAGATCACACCACTGCACTCCAGCCTGGGCAACAGAGCAAGACTCTGTCAACAAAAAACAGAAAAAGAAAAAGAAAAAAAAAAGATATACCACTAGTTTAACTGGTAAGTTTTCACATTTACTTAAAAATTTTACATAAATTGGTAACTCAGAATAATTCTATCATAACTACCAAAATCAGAATGTGGCAGATTTAACCAAGGTATCTTTAAAGGAACTCTACAGGTATCTGATAAACCTTTATGGTATAAATATAACCCATGTGTGCTTTTTAAAGAGCTAAAGCCCATTTTCTCTTTTAAATTTCACACATTACAACCAAATTCCACTTAAAACTGAAAAACTTAACAGCTGGATGTGTTTAGAAATAATCTAATTTGGCCGGGTGCGATGGCTCACACTTGCAATCCCAGCATGTTGGGAGGCCGAGGCAGGCGGATCACGAGGTCAAGAGATCAAGACCATCCTGGCCAACATGATGAAACCCCGTCTCTACTAAAAACACAAAAATTAGCTGGGCATAGTGGCACATGCCTGTAGTCCCAGCTACTTGGGTGGCTGAGGCAGGAGAGTTGCTTGAATCCGGGAGGCGGAGGTTGCAGAGCCATCACGCCACTGCACTCCAGCCTGGCGACAGTAAGACTCCATCCCAAAACAAAACAAAAACCGCATCTAATTCCTCCCTTACAGCTGAATAAGTTAAGGCCCATGGTGATTAGTGATTTGCCTAAAACACATCAAGAAACAGAGCCAGCTCAATCCGACGACTCTTAATACTTCCATTTACGCAGTTGGCTGGGAGCGATGGCTCACGCCTGTAATCCCAGTACTTTGGGGGGCCAAGGCGGGTGGATCACCTGAGACCAGGAGTTCGAGACCAGCTGGCCAACATAGCGAAACCCCGTTTCTACTAAAAATATAAAAATTAGCCAGGTGTGGTGGCGGGTGCTGTAATCCCAGCTATTCAGGAGGCTGAGGCAGGAGAATCACTTGAACCCAGGAGGTGGAGGTTGCAGTGAGCCAAGATTACGCCACTGCACTCCAGCCTGGGCAACAGCAAGACTCCATCTCAAAAACCAAAAAACAGTAACTATGCAGTCATATATTGCTTAACTTGGGGACATGTGACAAATGTGTAATTAGGTGCTTTCATTGTGATGTGAACATCATAGAGTATACTTACATAAACCTAGATGGTATAGACTACTACACACCCAGGCTACATGGTATAGCCTATCGCTCCTAGGCTACAAATACTATATTGAAAACCGTAGGCAACTGTAATACAATGGTTTTGTGTATTTAAACGCAGAAAGGGTACAGAAAAATACCACATTATAATCTTATGGGACCACTGTTGTATATGTGGCCTGTCACTGACTGAAACGTCGTTATGTGGTATATGACTGTACTCAGTACATTTTAGAAACTTCAATAAATACATTTAAATTTATCTAAGAGAAGAAAAACTCAGTTTAGATGTAAAGATTTCCATAAGGCAACACTACAGGGACTGTAAACCTAATACAGCTCCTATGTAAAAATTCCCAAATACAATAAAAAGTTTTTTTTTTTTTTTTTTTTTTTTTGAGATGAGTCTTGCTCTGTCGCCCAGGCTGGAGTGCAGTGGCACAATCTCGGCTCACTGCCAGCTCCGCCTCCTTGGTTCACATCATTCTCTTGCCCGGCCCCCCCAGTAGCTGGGACTACAGGCGCCGGCCACCACACCCAGCTAATTTTTTGTATTTTTAGTAGAGACGGGGTTTCACCGTGTTAGCCAGGATGGTCTCGATCTCCTGACCTCATGAACCGCCCACCTCAGCCTCCCAAAGTGCTGGGATTACAGGCGTGAGCCACCGCACCCAGCCAAAAAAAATTCTTTACTATTACCTTTCACATGTTTAAGGAAACAAAAAACTCAGGACACTAAAAACAGACTGCGAAATTTACCTACTTGGTATTACACCACTAGAAACAGATGCTAAAAAGGTAACTTTATAGTGGCAGAAAACATATACACTAATGAGATTCCACACCAATTTTTATTTATATTTTGGGGCCTGAAACAAATCTTATAATCACCTCTTTCAAATTACATTTTATTCCCTTAATGGTGTGGTTTACCCCCACTCCACAAAAACAATTACAACTAACACACTAGAAATATTTTTTTAATAGAACCTCTTAAAGAAGACATTTTCATTAACCAATCCAGACCAAGGATTGTCTCAAAAATTTAATCTGTTAATTTTCTGGTGGTGTTATTTTAGAAAATACTTCATAACCAAATTATACATCTAACTTTTATGTAAGTTTATGCATTCACATCCTAAATCATGAAAACCCTACCTTATAAAACCTTACCACTCAAGGTAAATACTGTATCGCATGTCAAGAAAATAATGAATTCTCTAAATCTGGCACTAAAAGTCTGAAAAACCCAAATATCAAATTATAACACTGATTTATGTACTAATAATCACAAATGTCATGACGGCTTTTAAAAAAACTACAGATTTAACTGATAAGCTTGCAAATTACGGCAGAGTAAATAAAACTGTCAAATACTACTTTTGGCTCTAGTTCGTATCTTGCCCAAAAATGTGCATATCATAGCCAACAGAATTTTTCTGTAGAATTTTATTTTGAAAATAATATTTCACTTCAAGATTGATCTAAAAAACATTTTAAGATATGAAAATGTTATACAACTTATCTATTACAAATTAATCAGATAATTCTGTAATTAGGTACACTGTGTTAGCTCACCTACATAAAAAATATTGCACATTTTCCTTTATTTTGTCTCCAGATGTGATTGATGTCTAGACTATATAGAATTCCAAACTATTTTAAAGTTATTCTGTGAAATGTCATCTTTATAGATATCAGAACTAAATGCACTGTAAACAGCCATTTTGGTAAACATGCATTTATTCACAGTTGATTTATTTCCTTTAGATAA